ACAACTTTTTCTTTTTGATTTTTTTACCTGGATTACTGAGACGCATTAGGATGTTTGTTGTATATTTACTGTTCTCCAAAAGAAATTGTTTTCTTAAAAGCAGTATTAAATAAGAGATTTGTTCACATTTATTACTCAGAAAGAACTTAAAACTGTCAGGAGCGTTCAATGTCCATCTTTATGAATTTCCATTTCCTTTCATTCCTCTTAATCAGAATTAACAGAATATCATGTATGACTCACACTGTGTTTTGACCCGTTCTCCAATGAGGCCACTCTCTGATGAAGATCTGCAACAGTAGAGAGAAGGATGTGGATCTGCTCATCAGTCCATACGTGGTGCTGCTCTTCTGTCTTGTTGACGTCATCCATGACTCTTTTGAGATCTGTTATGTCCTATTAAAAAATCATGAATACATGTAAAACCATCCTATTAGGAACATACTGGTGTGAAATAAATAAGATTAACAGTTTTGGCACATATCTAACAGTGTTCATAGGTTGTCAAATACTTCCCATGTGTTAAGACAAAGATCTAAGCCAGGTAGTAATTTCTCAGAAACCACAAATTTATCACTGCTACAGTATTAGTTATAATTATTTGCAAATTTTCTTCTCTCACTTTGTAACAAAAAAGAAAAAAAAAGGAGAGAGAAAAGACTCTAATTGTATTTGACCTAGTTGCGAAAGCATCTAAGCTCCCGAAATAGATTGGCACTCGTTTCATGTATTATGGATGCAAAGTCAAGGCATAGATCCAAGAAATGACAGGACCTTCTTATCCCAACGACTCCTTCAATGTCAGCTTGACAAGAACTGCCAAGCATGCTTACATGCGTGGGTTAACGCGCATTAATTAATCTGGCTGCGGCGACCATACCCGCAGCTTATCGCTCGGATTCATGCCACGATAAGACGGAGCGACGCGTCAACGACAGAATCCTCCTCCGAGGAAATTTTCTACCGTTCTTAAGAGGAAAAATGTGCTAACGCACCACCGCAGCTACAAACCAAAAATGTACTCAAGTATTTAACAAATTTACTTAAGCACAATGCTCTGTCAGGTTGTTTTATGAACACACACATTTTCAGAGTGTGTTCATACATATTTAATAAGCTCAGTGAAAAGCAGAGTAAATGAACAAAACAGCCCCAAAGCAGTATTTGCTAGAAACCTGGAGATGTAAGTACTGTTCAAAAAGGCAAGCTGCAAGGAGAACAACCTTGAGTATGATTCAATAAGAACTTCTAAATTATTTATGAAGAAAAAATGTAACATTTCAGGAATTGTTTAAATAAACAATTTGAACATATAGTTTAAAAAAGATGTAAAGTGTTAACTCATGTTTTTGGCTTTTCATCATATTTACTGTTTAATGAAATTCACAATTTTGAGATGTGTTTCATTTAATTGTTGAGATAAATTAAGGGACAGTTAAAGGGAATAAAGTTTGGTGGATGACTGATGCTTTAGAACAAAAACCCTAAAATATAGTGAATGAAAGCAAACATTTAACATCCACAAGGAAAAGCCTAAGTGGTAATCTCAAGGCACTGAGGTTTGCAAGCCTCAATATGCATTTTAATCTCAACAAGTTATAGCACCAGCAGGCTTAAGTGCCCAAATAGAAAGCAAAACACTTCAATTCCTAAAGGGAAACCATTTTCAGGGCTCTTCAGTTTGACTTTCATTTTAAAGGAGGAAATAACTTCAGTGCATACAAAAAGGAGTCCACTTGCTCCATGTTTGAACACCACTCTGAACCGGATGACTGAAACTCTCCGGATGTATTGACAGCTGGCTGTTCAAGGTTAAAACCCACAAACTGGGAAAGATGTCTCGGGTTTAAAATTACCATGGTTTGCTTCATGTCGTCATCTTTCTTCTGATTTTCAAGGGCATCCTGCATGGTCTTCACATCGTGCTGTACACTTGTTACTGTGCTGCCGATTGTAGCGACACTCTGGAACAGAAAAACGGAGGTGGAGTCAGTTTCTGAAATCAGGAAAATCCATTAACTAAAATCCCAGCATTTGTTGACTCTACCTTCTGAAGCTCTTCAACAGTTGCTGGAAGGCTGACTAAATCAGCAGCTGATTTCAAGGTGACTTTTAARTGGTTGACAGTAGTGTCGAGTAACGTGATCTGTGAAGGTCAAACAAAACGAATTACATGACACAGTTTTTGGTCATCATTTGTTGGATACAGCTGGCAAAAACATGTTAAATTTTACCTTTAGGTGTTTTGAATATTCTGTTTTTGTCTAAATAATTACATAAAACCTAATTGTTTTATATCACTTTGTGTGTCTTACATCTATGTAGTAAAACTATCTAGTATCCGAAATAGTAAAACATATGTATCTAAGGACTAATAATGATTAGATTGGCAACTGGGGATATTTAAATGATGGTACAATTGTTTTCAGATAAACAGCTTAACAGCAATATATCAAAAAAGTATGAGCTACTATCAGCCAAAGATGATTCAATCTGACTTAATTACTAGAGGTTTAGATGGTTTCTAGCAGCTTTTTATGCATAGTTGACTGTGAAGATGCAATCAAGGATACCAAATTTCACATCAGACATAACAACTTACTTTTTGATTCAGGTCTGTTAGGTTAAACCAGAGTTTGTTCAACCCCTTATCTCCATTCTCAACGTCATCAAGTTTTCTTTCCTTGTTTTTGAGATCTTCATTTATTTTMGGTATTTCACTTGATGACACTTTCTGGCTTAATTCCACTGCAAAAAAACAAAACAAAACAAAAACRTTAAAAGCAATGCTAAAAATGAAACACACTACTGGCTGATGCATATACAGTTTTGTATGTCCAAAGGGCATCGTGTTGTTTATTGGCAGATTCCAAGTAAMTGAATGCTTGTAACACTTACTGCTGTGCAGCTTCTCTTTCAGCGAGTCTAGATCTTCTTTCAGAGCAATTTGCATCCATATGAGTCCAGCACAGGCCATGACACAAGCAGCTAGAATGATGAAGAGGAATAACGGGTAGCACACATTGCAGCACTGTGCGTAGCTTCTTCTGGGGRAAAAAAAAAAACAGTGATAACTGTAGACACTGTAACTGGATGATTATTATATATTTTTAACAAATGAAAGATTCAATTCAGAGAAAGACACATGTCATAGGAATTATGAGGATTGCTCAAAATGTTTTTATTTTTTGTTTTTTTTTTGTTTGTTTTCAAATTATGAGCTACCAGGTCCTATCACTTGTTGTCAATGTTCAAACAACAGGATAATTAATAAGTGACATGGAGAGATTCTAAGCACAAATTTCACAACTCTTTCTGTCTGTAGGGCAAAGGTTTAGTATTCATTTAAATTCATTTTTGTCAACACATAAAATGTTATTTYCTGATTTTATTGATTGATTGATTGAGTGATTCTTTTTACAGCACTGCACAAAATTATTGTCAGTTCTAAATTAAGCCAGGCTTTTTTGTAAACATTTAAGGTCAGTCACGAGCAATATTTCTTTAGGCCTTCTGGTGGTCTTCCAAAGTTCGTTTGAACATCGGTTGCTTTTTCCACTCATTTTAAGTCCAACATAGTTTGAGTTTTGGTTTTAAGCCACTTAATTTGAAGCATTCAGGCATAAAAGGGTTTCTAAACGCAAGAAATAAACCAGTGTCATGTCAACATGTAGCACACAACTTATGAAAAAAAATAATGAATGAATGACAGCAGTGTCAAGTAATGTGATCTTTGAGGTCATTTGGTTCAGGAGATTAACTTTTGTCAAATTGTGGATAAAGCTGTTATCAGCAGCCTCTCAAAAGAGAGTTTGTTTTCATGTCTTCTGCTGAATCCGTCAGCACCCCCATCCCTAAAATACAGTTGCTGGAAAGTTTTATAGGCTTGTMACTTCTTATTTCAATCTTCATTTTCACATTTTATTTGCTCACACCATAAAAATGCTGTCATAACCAGGTAAAAAAAAGATTAGAGAAAACTAATCAGCTTATTTCCAAATAAATAAATGAAACCCAGAAGAACTATTGGTCAAGACCACTATAGAAGATTACAAGACAGTATTGCTCTTTGGAAACAAAGTATGGTAATGTATGTTAATGAGAGTATTTATTTACTGTGTTGTCATATTCCAAAACAAGTGTCTAAATATTAGCAGATTTTCTGGGTTTTGTACAATCACAGTATATTCTGCCCCCAAAATCACACAAATGTTTATCTATTTTTTGTCAATATTATAGGCTACGGGTAAAAACGTATGTTATGCCAAAGTGTTTGTTGATGGGAACAAACTACTAACTGGTCAGAAACATAAACACCAGTTTGACCTAATTAGTCAYCATGAGCTCTGCAAAAATGCATCCGTTGTGTGGTATTTTAAAACAACATAAACCATTTATACTTACTTTCCGAAGTTGGCTCCGCTGTTCGGGTTGTTGAAATCATCATCTTCTGAGCTGGATTCCGACTCCGAGTCTGGAGGTTCAGTTCGGAGAAGTCGGTGCCCAGAGCCCTTTTTGGTCTTCTTTCTTTTACTGTCACCGAGTCCGATCAGGGCGTTCAGCTCCTTCCTCTTCTTCATCTTTTTCTGAGGTGTCAGCGGACCCCCTGAGCCCGATTTAAAACCCACTAAATCTAATGTTTTGTCCAGCTTGCTGGATCTTGTTGTTTTACCCTGTAGCTAAGCTAATGTTCCTGTTAGCTTTAACTTCAACTACGTAACGAAGGAAATGGATAAAAACACATTGGACTTTGCCAATATATACCGAACGTATTAAATGTTTGACTTGATTAGCTGAACATTTGGTTCAACACAAAAGCTTCTCTGAAAAAAATGACTTTTTTCTAGACGCATCCAGGTCGTGTTTGGCTAACTCTCTTCCTAGCCTCACCTTGCTAACACTAGCTGTCGTCGTTACCGTACACTAAAATCCTTGAAGTTTTCTTTAGAAATGACCTACTCAAATGGCATTCCATAAAGAAAACCATAAAAACAGTTTGAAATAAATCCCAAAACATTTACATCATAAAAAGCTAAATCTGTTGCGCTAAGGAAGATTTAACCTACTGCCTGGCTTTTTGTTTGGGCAGAGTGTCCGAAGATCCTGAGTCCTGATTGGTTCAAAGATGAAGTTACAACTTCCGGTGTCCGGTTTTGAGAGGAAACGACCCAGCGCAGTACACCAACTTTCCATGTCCGAAGATCCTGAGTCCTGATTGGTTCAAAGATGAAGTTACAACTTCCGGTGTCCGGTTTTGAGAG